AAACTCCAAACCCTAAACCCTAGCAGATTCTCTGTCCCTTGACAGCAGCAAACCCCCCTTTTTGGGCTGCTCGCAGGTTCACGTGATTTGCAAGCCCGGTGCCTTCGGCCACCGGGCATCAAACCTTCCACTGCGCGGCTAAGGATTTGTTTTATGGTGCATAGTCTAAACTCCTAGTATACCCCTTAATACGCCGTATAGTAGTCCTATATATAACCCCTATATAAACCCCTTTAAGGAGTTTAGACTATGTCTCCTATGGTGCCTTTAGGGTTTAGGGTGCCTTTTCTCCTTTGTCCAGGCAGCGAAGAACGCCTTACAGCGAGACCCAGAAAGCATTGACTTACCAGGTTTAGGGACGACCTGTACGCGTCCATTCCATCACCCGAGTCGAAAAGGTTGGGTCCTCGCACGCCTCCCCAATCAAAAAATGCACTTCAGCAACTTCTATCTCTCACGCACTAGGAAAAGCCCCCTCACTCCGACCCTCAGCCCGCTGCTCAGCGGCTAAGGGTTTAGGGTGTAGGGTTTGGGGTAGGGTTCGGGCTCTGGCCCTGTAACCCAGAAAGCCCCATACACGCTAACCAAGCAATTAGTTGACTACTTCAGCTAGGTAGCTAATTCATCAACGGACGTTTGTAGTCACTTAACTGGTTACGGAGTGTATCCTACATTATGTTAGGATCCATAATATGTTTTAAGGACATTTCCTTGGTCAGGTGGTATTGACCGAGCTCCCGGGATGTGATTAAAAAGTGGAACAGCCAGATTAAAACCACACTGACACATATCCCTCATCACCATCCTCGGCCAAGGCCATCGAACAGACCTTTTGGCACTCCGACGGGTCCCGCTCCAAACCCAGCCTCAGGAAATGCGGAATGGACTGGCCTCTGGCAAAGTCCGCTGCCGTCCAGTTTCGGCAGTTGCGAAGGTCCAGTTTGGCGCCAGCTGAAATGAGGGCCGCAGCGGCCTCATACTGAGCCGAACGGATGGCCTGCATCAACGGCGAGATGCCTTGCAAGTGATAGATATAAAATGTCAGAATGTCGGCCGTGCCAAACCGATGCTGGAAGGAACTCAGACTGGCAAGCAGCCGGCCCAAATACGAAACGTCGCGGGGCATGTGGACCTGAAAGTTGACGTCCGCGCGCCTTGGCTGAGGCTTTTTAGGGTTTAGGGTTTACGGTTTAAGGTTGCGTGCAGATGCCCCTGTATAACCCTGTATAAACTATGAACCCCTAAGCCCTAAGCCTTGAAGCCCTTTAAAGGGCCCTATACTGTAGCTTCGGCATCTGATCTATTGGGGCGCACGAGGTCCTTGACGTGGTTGGGACAACCAACAACACTGGAACATGCGCATTTGGAATCTGCTCTAAACCCTAAACCCTAACAGGGGCTACGGCTGGTTAATCTTCCCCTGGATATCTTCATATTATGTATAGGATTTAGGATTCAGGGTTGTGAAATTTGCGGTGTTTTTTGGGGTCCCCTAGCTATTGAGTACCGTTATGGTTGCAGAACATCTACTGCATGGCGAGCGACATGCTGATCAATAGCTGCACCAGCTTGGCTGAGCCGCCATGAAAACCGGTGGCAAACTGAAGCGCCCGCGAAAGCTCCAGCGAGCCAGGGTGCACTTGCGCCACTAACTCCGCCAAAGCTTCAGTGGCTGCATTACCTGATGGTTTAGGGTGGGGTTTAGGTTGCTACTGGATTAGGATTCGGGCTTAGGCTTTTAAGGTTTCAGTGGCTGCATTTCCTAGCTTCATGGAATACCTCTCACTCAAACATGTATTCTGTTTCGGAAAATTTTGGTCAGCGTTCCAGAAAGAAGTGGTAGTTTGAATTCATAGGGGTACCCTGCTCTAGATCCCACCATACTCCAACCCTTATTATGGGGACCCACGATAATCTACCTCTAATAAAATTCCGGAAGCCCGATCCCTATCAGTACATATACATGTACACACACGTACGTTGACGCGTTCTACCTGTAGCTTCTTCGGGAGTTACTAAATTACCGTAGGCTTAAAAATGTAGACCCTCAATGCAGGGGTGGGGGAATAACCGAACGCCCACAATATGCCTATATATATATACACACATACGTACCCCTGTATTCCCAAACATCTAAAAGAATACTCCTCGAACCCAATGACCCGCTGCGGACTGGTAGGCAGTGGCACCAACGAAGTTCCTGTGCAGTGGATTGCTACCTTCAGGCGCTCAGAAGATGAGGTAAAGAAAGCTGCCGTATGGGGAAATGAGCCCAACATAATAGAGTCTGCAATAGGGATCCTTTAGCCCACCTACATTCATCCCACCTTTTGAGCCCCCTGATACCTGCTTCGCAAAGCAGTCGGATTATTTCTGCATCATTGGGGACGGTCGCATAGGTGATGGAAGGCAACAACCCACCCTCAAGATGGGCCCCGGCTGCAAGAAGCAACCGGGCAGACCCGTGGTGCCTTCCAGCAGACGCAATATCCAGTGCCGACATCTGGGCTGGGGTGCCGAAGGCAGGCACATCCTTGGACGTGCGCCAATTGACATTGGCGCGCTGCTGCAGCAGGCGTCTCAACACGTCTGTACTTCCGCCCAGCGCTGCATAGTGCAGCGGCCGCCACCCCGCGTGATCGACCTCACCAATTCTCTGGAAACCGTTTTGGTGTAGAAACTCTGCAGCTGCGTCACCGCCTCGGCTGTGGCAGCTGTCAAGAAAGCCGCTTATCGGCTCCATCCCAAGCCCACGTAGGTAAACGCTGTTGAGGTTGAACCAATGCCGGAATCCAGAGAGGTCGCCCGATCGCAGGCATCGCTTCAGCTTTTGCACGATGATCTGCCGCATGACCGGGCCCAGCTTCTGCTTATCTTCCGGGACTGTGAAATTGCCCTCCCCAACCATGCCAGGCGGAAACGAAGCCGGTGTGCCAACAAACTCCATGAACGTACAGCTTTGGATCAAAACCCAAGTGCTTTCTTTCGACAGCTCACGCGCCATTCTTTCCATGCGGCACCAACCTCTTCGGCTCCACGTGAGCGCTGTGAGCACCTTTGCCTCCTTGGGGCAATCGATCACCGGACAAAGGGCCAGAAAGAAGTGGCAACTGGCGACGTAGGCTGGGATGCTATTGATGGCATGGGCTTGCTGACTACCATCCATGTCATCTGCACCAAAGCCCCTTCTTCGCTCCAGCTGCGGGCACGAGAAATAATCGTACCAAAGGAACAATGCATGCTCCTGAAAGGGAGATATTCAAATGAGCCACACGACAAAGCAAAACGGACACGGACGTATGTGGAAACTGTTGTGCGTACTCCCGAAATTTAGTCTGTATATCACCCTTCCAGAACCCCAGTACTTTCAATTTCATGTTCCAACTGTGCCTGGAACTCCTGCATGCGAAGTGGCTTGGCCTTTGGCACTAGACTTTTCGTGTTGAAGTCCACTGGAATTGAATCACGGCAGCACAAGAGCCGATTCAGGGCCTCGGCAGAGACAGAAACACATGAAAACTTTAATCGCGATTGCAGCAGTTCCCTTCAGTTTACAAGACTTGTAGTAAACCAGGCTGTTTACGTAAGCCTTGCTACGTTTTTGCTCTGCGTCAGGCAAAAGTTCGCCGTGGCAGCTGGACTACTGGGTTGCTGTTAAGGAACTTAAATTAAGTTACCATAATGGGTATGTATAATAGTAAGCAATTAATCTGGTTCCCTCATAAGAGTAACTTAAGTTAAGTTCCTTAACAGCAACCCAAGCTATTTGCAACCAAATGGCATCTTGCAAGACCCGCATCTGCTTAAAGTCAGGGTCCGGATGGTGTTTGGCAAGCCACTGGTGGGAAATGAAAGCTGCCTTGCCCATGCTTTCGTTGAAGATGCACAGCTCGTCCCGGGCCTTCGGACAGTAGGATCGCAGGTGCCCGGGACCCCGCTAAAGGATTCAAGAAATGGAGCCCCCCAAAAAGGCCCCATTGGGGAACATTGGGGATTATGAAGGGGTTCCATTTGTTGGATCCTTTGGGAGGGTCTGGGTAATAAGGGGAGATCGATAGGAAAACAAGATGGAATCCGGACGTGGAAGCTACCAATGTCCTTTCAGGGTGGGCATACCTGCACTGCCCCTTCCTACTCCCAAAATCCCAACTACCCAATCATTGGGTAATAAGACCCTTAGAGGCTCTAAACCCGGTTAATCGATGATCTGCCGAGACCTGACCTCGTTTTGTCATTGATATTCATTGCCTCTCTGACTGGGGGCCACTAGATGTGACATATACTCATTCAACATTCTGAAATATTGGCACCCAAGACCCCTAAACCTTAAGCCCCTAAACCCTAAGCCCCAGACCCTAAACCCTCTCTGGGTTTATTTTGAAATAAGGCCACCCTAGACCCTAAACCTTAAGACCCTAAACCTTAAGGCCTAAACTCTTTTCTGGTGTTTATTTTCTACATAAACCAGCTTTTGGATTGCCAGGTCGTGGCCTTGCAACTTTCAAGGGGCTCTTAGGGTTTAGGGTTCTTGGGGTTTAGGGTTCTTAGGGCCTAGGGTTCTTAGGGTTTAGGGTTCTTAAGGCTTAGGGTTCTTAGGGACCGCTCTAGGGTTGAACCCGCCATAACTTGAGAGATAAACATGAGGGGTTACGGTATAGGGTTTAGGGCTTAGGGATGGCTAAAGTACACCAACTTCAGAAATCAACCTGTGGGGTTCTGTGGTCTCCCTAGACCTATAATCAACATGTTACGTCTTAATCATTCCATGGGGCTACATTATAAGTAGAAAGTATAAACAATTCCTGAGGGGACTACAGGGTTGGGGTTTATTGTTCAGATACACCACAGAGAAGGGAATCGATGATAGAACAGTAAAGCAATGATGCGAAGAAAAACTTCGGAAAGGACTTGGGCTACAGCTGACACTGCACTTTGGGTTGCAAGGATTCAGCTTCATCGCTGCCTCCTCCCAAGATATGGCAGCTTCCAAAAACAGGTGCCACCTAATGCACAAAAACCCTTGTATTCGGACTCCCAAAAGCGGCCAATTTTCCAGAACCCACTATATGTCCATATGTAAACGGAAAGGTATGCACAACTACAAATAGGCGGCCAGTTGCATCGACCCCTGAACCCCAAAGCCTAGCAGTAAAATCTAGCTGCAGACTGCCCAATGCCAGAACCCTCCTCCCTCAAGCGGACTTAGGGTTTGGGGTTTAGGGCTTAGGGTGTTAAGCACTGCAGGCATATTGGATAGCTTGCATGAATTTCTTCTTCAAAGGTTACATGTGATCTGAACCCACAAAGCCATACTTGGGTGCCCCATAGACTCCATTTTAATCTACATTCTGTTGTGCATTGGTTTGTCTATTGCCAAACCGACTGCAATTCTGCCTCTCAATACCAGTGAAACTTGATCCCCGTAGCATTCGAGCTCATTCTACATAAGTTGTTTTCGCAGGATTCCCAGAAATCTCTATAGAACCCCGTACAGACTCGCATAGAATCCCTCAAACATGCCGTTGCAATGCTTGTAGTTACCTAGTCATTAGGAGGACCCCCCCCCCCCACCCTGTAATATTGATTTAATAGGAATAGAAGGGCCCTAATATAATCCTTATTACCCCTTATAGTCACTATTACTCCTGGAGTCTCCTTAGACCTATAATAAATACTATTTTCAATAGGGTTATACTATAAAATACATGAAAACTGATTCCTAAGGAGGCCACAGTACTGGGTGGGGGGTCCACCTAAACCTTAAACCTTAAACCCTACACCCTGAACCCTAAACTCTAAACCCTGTTCACACACACTGCTTGCCGCGACCTTCAGGTTTTCGTGCGGCTCGATGCTCGTCATCTTCAGAAGCAGCTCTGCGGCCACGGTGTACATGGGGAAGAGCATTGGGGGAGCCTGGGGTTTAGGGTTAAGGGTTTAGGGTTGAATAATGGAAGTAAGAATGATAACAATAAAAGTAGTACTCAAAATAGAAATATTCATCTTATGAGTAATAATAGTATAGTAGTCAGAATAATACTGATAAGAGTAGTCATCATAATATTAGCCATAGTAAAAATACTGTTAGAGGAGTGGACTGGCCCTTGAAGCTGTGGGGCGCTGTCTTTCCTAAAAGGGGCCATGTGCAAGAAACATCTTGTTGAATCAATCCTGGATTAAGGTTTAGGGTTTACATGTGAGCTATAGTCTAAACTCCAGATAACCCCTTAATGAGCCCTAGAAAACTCCTCTATATAATCCTCTGTATACCCCCCGTCAAGGAGTTTAGATTATAGCTCATGTGGAAGCCATTGCATCACTTCTACCTACGCTATGGGTACTGCTTCTACAGATCCTTCTGGGACAGTACTACTACTACTACTACTACTCCTACTCAACAGACCACGCTTCCTTCTCCTACTACTACTGCTACTACTGGGATAGAGGCTTAGGGTTTGGGGTTGAGGGTCTTAGGGTTTAGGGTATTAGGGTTTGGGGTTTAGAATTTAGGGTTTCAGGTTACTGAATCTCACCACCAGAAGCTTCTTCATCCCGCGGCAGCGATCTGGCATAGATCTCCAGGGGTGTCGGGGACGACGGGACGGCACAGCAGGTCATGAGCTTGAATCACAACGGTTAGACTGGGCCCCTTTAACAAGTTATAGGGGTTCTATAGGTGTATTATAGGGATCTGTAGGGCCTGTAAAGTGGAGGCTTTCGAAAGTTATGGCCGCCTTTGTTGGGAATTCCCAGAAAAATCGTTTTTTGGGGGCGCCGGAGGCGCTTGAAGCGAGCCAACCACTGCAAACTTGAGGCGTTTACAGCAACAACTACGGCCCCCAGTAGTATGACTTCGGTGGACCCACCACCCAGTGATACTGAGTATAGGGGATAATGCGGATTATATAGGGCTCTCCTATATTCCCATTATACCACTATTACAGGGTGGGGGGGTTTCTTTTGAAGTATAACCCTCACCCATAAACCCGAGACTCCCAACCCTGAATCCTAGAGCAGGGCTAAGCCCAGAATGGTACTGACATCCCCAGATACTATTCTTCAAAATGCGGATCCACCTGTGCATTGTACATTGCCCGTCACAACTCCCTCTAGGAGGGCCAGGGGAATTTGTAAACCCTACGTCTTGTCAGAAAGGTAAATCTAGCGTTTACGGCATAGGGTAAACCACCACGCTTGGAAGCCCAGATGAGATCCCGAAAAGATGGAACTTCAGACAGATGGTTTATGGCTTTCGGTCTCAACCCTGAACCCTCAACCCTTAACCTTAAACCTAAACCCTACAGAACTTTCAGTCTGAGGTCAAGATAGGCAGCGACATTCAACCTCAGCTTTCCTCATTGTCCTGCTTCTGGACTTGAAAGATTTGGGTTTAGGGTTTACGAACATGACCGTACCTGCTGCATGGCTGCGAATTTTCATCCTAGACTTTTCCGCGTTATTCCCACCAACTCCCTACAAACACTGAGCCCATTAACCCAATGTTGTAGACTGCATAAACAAGGAAACCCCAACAGAGAACCCAAAATGCGATCGTCCTTTTTCTTGGGACCCCCAGAAAGGTATCCCTGTTTGAGGCAAACTCCTAAACTCTAAGCCCCACACCCTCATCCCAAAACCCTACACCCTAAACCTTAATCCCAAAACCCTAAACCCCCAACCCCCCGAAACCCGAAAGGGATTAGGGAAACCCTAATGCCTGTATACACCCCTCGTCCACTGGCCCGAGCTGGTACTGCGGATAAGCTACTCCTCCTCGGTCGGTGCCACGTTCAGACCACCAATCAAAGAAGCCTCCTTGGATCACTTGGGATCCTACCCTAAACTCGAATTAAACAGAGTTGAGGGTTGCAGGCCTAAACCCTAGGCCCTAAACTCGAACTCTTAAACCGCTGATCCTGCTCCTATTTGACTAAGGCTTTAATAGGG